AAAGGAGGGAACAATTTGAAATACTGATGTTGATTTTTGAGAAAGCAAAGGATTCTAAGGAAAGGGGAAAAAACCTTTAATAGATCATGTGGTGACAATTTTTTTGTTTCAACAAAACTGAAAGAAGACCTAAAAGAAATAAGCAGCTGACAAATGATTAGAAGCAATTCTTTCTTTTTTTAACAAATTGGTTTTGCTTTATTCTTTTTTTAAATATATTTGTGTTAATTTCAGAGAGGAAGAAAGAGGAAGAGAGGGATAGAAACACAATGATGAGAGAGAGTCATCAATCAGCTGCCTCCTGCACGCCCCCACTGCAGATCGAGCCTGCAATCTGGACATATGTCCTGATCAGGAATCTAACTGTGACTTCCTGGTTTATAGGTCAATGCTCAACCACTGAGCCATGCCGGCTGGGTGAAGCAATTCTTGATAATAGGGCACAGGGTGATTTCTAGCATCTAATGTAGAAGATTTACAAGAACTGGTAATAAGGATATAATTGTTTTATCTGTATATGCTTACTTATATATGAATAACTTTTCATGGTACATCTATACAAATCAAAAATAGCAACAGAATTAATGTTAGACCTTTTTTAATTCTTGCAACAAGGAATACCCATCCATAGATACATTTAAAAAACACATCATTCTTTTAAAGATGTGCTTCAAAATTATTTTTATTTTATATCTAATATGTATGCATTATAATTTACAATATATTAATTTATTTTGATATATTTTGTTATATGAGTAAGACCTTTGAAAATAACTGAATCCAGACGAAAATGTTCAATATTTACAACTTTAGGTCACATTACATTTAAAAGAAGAGTTAAATTTATATAGGAAAAGGGGAAATATGTTAAATTTCTGATCATTACAACAAAAACATTTTGATTTCTTTTTTTAAAATATGTTTAAAATTTGTATTGATTTCAGAAAGGAAGAGAGAGGGAGAGAGGGATAGAAACATCAATGATGAAAGAGAGTTATCAATCAGCTGCCTCCTGAATGCCCCTTACTGCGGATCAAGCCTGGAAACCCGGGCATATGCCCTGACCAGGAATTGAACTGTGACCTCCTGGTTCATGGGTCGACACTCAACCACTGAGCCATACCCGCTGAACATTGATTTATTTTTAAAATAAGTTATATTGGGTATATTATTTCTATGATATTTAAAATTCCATGAAAAACTTATACAAGAATATATTTTATCTTAAAATATCATCATAAAGCCCAGCAGCTGTGGCACAGTAGTTGAGCGTAGACCTATGAATCAAGAGGTCATGGTTATATTCCTGGTCAGGGCACATGCCCAGGTTGCAGGCTCAATGTTTTCTTGAAAATATGGATTGCATGCTGTCTAAAATTATTATGAGTTCTGTAAACGAAAATCCTTGGTGAAAAAATGGTGAAAGGGTTAAGCTGTAACAGTCCGGTGATAGTCAGAAGGAAAGGGGGCTGGGGGAGGTGGAAGAGGGCATTTGAAACCTGTATGGTTCTGTTAACCAATATCACCTAATAAACTCAATTTAAAAATGTTTGAAAACTACAGGGTCAAGAAAGTATATATGAGGGTATTGGAAATGTTTCTGTTTTGCTCATGAGTTACCAAGACTCAAAAGTCAATTACTTAGAAGACCATTTTTGAGTGGAGCCATTGTCTAGCCACGAGTTGAAAGGCAAATATTTAAAACGCAAACATCCAGGGTTATGTAACACCCTAAGATTTCATTAGTTGCTTACCACAACTGAAACTTTAAATTAATGACTCACCTGTTTTAAGTCTCAGATTCCACATCTGTAAAGTGGAAAGCAAGTACTTGCCATA